TTTGTTGCCTTTGAATTGAATGCTACTTTATACTGCTATAAAACTGGTCTCTTTAGTACTTCACCTGAAATCCTCATCAGTAGTCGTCAATCATCACTTAATGTATAAACGTGTTCCTCGCGATTATATTGTGATTGTAATTTCAAACATTGGAAAAGATATTTAAGGTCTCAGAAAATCCAATACTTTTTATTTGGGTTTTTTTTATCAAAATACCTAAATAACTGTAGTCTGAAAATTTAAACTAGTCCACAAAATTAAGAATATGAGGAAATTCAAAAAACCAAAAATGTAAATGCTGGCAAAATGCACCTCAAATTTTGAACATTTATCCATTTTCCTACTATTGTATTAAATTTAAATTTAAAAATATTAAGAAGTATTAATTCATCGTTGACAAGTGGTGTAAAATCATAACAAATCTTGAAAAATGTAAAACTATATAAAGTACATCAACTTCAACATTTAAAAATAAAAATAAAATATTTTATTATAAATTAATTGATTAATTGATAAATGGATGAAACAACCTCAAAAATACAACAATATTACAGTTACAATGGATCAATTAGAAATAATATTAATTATAAAAAAAAAATCAATAATTGGTACATAATTATTAAATACTACTATGGTAGGCAATATTATACAATATACAGATTCTATCATGAAGACAGTTTTCCATTTCGATTACATAATACATTTTAATTTGTCATTATAATTTATAATCTTCACAGTTCAAGGTACACTCAGACTCGGTCTATTATTATTTCAACTTACAGTCATTGAACAGCTGACTGAAAAAAGTTGATACGTTGTTTACTGCCTGTATACCTGACGTATAATATAATAATTCGATTTCTAGACAGCTTATATACTATATAATCATAAAATATGAAATGCGATAATATATGTACTCAATATACCATTGAGTCTATGTACTATGGGTAGATTCAAGTTGGACGGAAATGATCGAGTTGACAATAGGTAGCGATTGAGTTCATCACTGCCTTTCTTGTAAATAATATTGTTGTTCGTAGACTTGTCTGAAAATTATAAAAAAAAATATATTATTAACTTAAATATAGGTAATCGTAGTAGTTACGATTATTTTTTTTTTAAATTAACAACAATTATAACTAATTATATAATCAAAATAGAGTAGCATTATCAGTTTACGAAAGCGATAAAAATACGAAACGCCTAAAGTATAAGATTATATACGTCAAAGTTGTTGTACGAAAAATGAAGTGACAACCGAAGGTAAGCATTTAGAAATTAGAACACTCAAATTTCTAACTTTATATTCTGAGCTACTTTTAAATTAAATACGTAATGGAATTATAGGAATCTCTATACTATATTTGGACTATCAAAAAAAAAATAAAAACAACTGTATAAATATCCATACAGTTGTGGCTGAACAAATTTAAATATAATAATTATTATAAAATATTGCTTGTTAAGTATTTTGCTGTGATTCTACTTGTATTACAATTTTACGGATAGGTACATAATAAATAATAAATATTGAAATTTAAAACGGAAGTAATCCCATCCGTCTAATTTTAAGACATTTTTAATGTATGATAAATTTCACATCAAATTGAATTGGCATAGGTTAGGTCACCACAATTGCAAATGATTACAAATGGTTTGGCCATTATGGATAATATACTTTATTTTAATATTATAATACAATTTTCAAATTTGCCATACATTTTGATTTAATAATTGTTTAATATTACATAAATATTCTATTAACATGAATACCAGAAGGAAGAAATAAATCATTTAGACATTTGAACCTATCTTTGAAAATTCATACTATAATATTTTCAAATGTTTATTTTTTTAATTTTTTAATCGTCAATAGGTACCTATGAAATATATTTAACAAAACATCGTCAGACTGACTTGATGTACCTATATTTCAATAACCATGAACGATGCACTTCTAGCAAAATATGTTACTGAGTAGGTAATACTGTAATATTAAAATTATGATAAATACATTTCATTAAGGGCCTTGTGTTCCGGCAGTACTCAAGGGGAATTCAATTAGACAACCATATAAACAACATCGATGCGATGGCTCATATTTATAAAATAGAGTTATTTTGGCAAGCTTATCACTCAACACATCCATGAGTCACAGTGAAATTGCCTATATAAGCCGCTTAAATTACACTGTATGTACACCAAAGACGTTTGCACCATCAGTTCTTTACCATCAGCACGTTTACAAAAATTATTATTTAATTCCTATCAACAATTAAGAGGACCCCGCACTATCATATGTTTGGCGCAAAAGAAATAAACAATTAAGAGGACGCTATCCATACATTTGTTGTCTTCGTCTTACACACGCACGACAATTTTTGATATTTCACATACACATATCTTACTCGAAAACGAAAATATTGAAAAATCGCCTACACTTAAGCACAGATAATATTCTTACCTAAAAGTATGATAATAGGTCAATTCACTCTAATATTAAAACTAACAACACACTATTTGAACTAGCTAATGGAAATTTGCTATGTCGTGCTTGTGTAAGACGGATACAACAAATGCTTGGGTAGCGTACTCTTAAGTCATAGTTGAAACAAAATATATCCATGATACAGAATACAATATATTTTGCTATGTCAAAACTATTTATTATTTTAGATTCTGAGTGAAACGATGAATGTATTGATTTTACAATGATGTGTGTTTTTTTTTTTTTTTGTGTCTGTGTACACGATAAGTGGTCGAAATAATGCTTCGATTTTCAACTTCAGTATCTTGTTCGATTGGAAAGTGAATATCGTTGGTGCATAATTGAGGAGGTCAAAATTTAAAATTCCCAGTACATTTCAAAAGGGCCAAGAAAAATAAAAGAAAAATTAAGGAAAAACGGGAATTTTTACGCAAAATCGATTTTTCAGAAAATTGAATTTGGTTTTTGGTGTAACTTTAAAACAAATTACCGTAGATACATGCAATTTTCACTGGTTGTTTATATTTGAATTTTCTATACACGATAACATTTTCAAAATATTTTGATTTATTTTGAACTGTTTAGGGACATTTTCATTTTTCATTTATTTTTAGTTTTTTTTCTAGAAATATCAATAAAATTTTAGTTGTTGGTTAAAAAAACTTGAAAATTTAATAGAAGGCTCCTAGTATATTGTTTCAAAGGCAGATGTAAAATATTAAAAATTGTTAGTCACAGTTTTTTTTCATAAGCATTTAAAGTTCAAAAATTGACAAAATATGGAAAAATCACGAAAATTAGCAAATTATTTTGAGTTAAGAATTCGTAAAAATTTTTCTTTTTAAATCTAAGATTTGAAAATGTAATACAAGATTCCTTATAAGATTATCTACCTTTATCAAAAAAAAAATATTTATAAGAAAGTCAAATTAAATTTTTATGAGCATTTGAAATTCAAATTTTTACAACATTGGATATTCATTTGATTTCTCATGTAGCGATTTCCTTATTTTGTTGTAATTCAAAAACGAATAACTGTAGATACATGAAAATTTCACTGAATGTTTAAATTAACATTTCCTATACACCATACAATTTTGAAAATATTTTGACTCTTTTTGAGCTATTTACGGACATTTACCGCTTTCAATTTTTTTAGTTTTTTTTTCTATAAATATCAATTAAGCTTTATCTGTTGGGCCAAAAAGTGTAAGAATTTAATACAAGGCTCCTGATATATTGTTACAATATCAGTTGAAAAATATTAAAAATATATAGGCACAGTTTTTTTTTATAAGCATTTAAAGATCGAATTTTGACAAAATTTATCAAAATCTCGAAAATTATCAATCATTGTAATTAATAAATTATAAAATGTTCAGTTTTATAGCTAAGGATTGCAAATTTAAAACAAAGGTTCTCATAAATAGTTCATACTGTAACCAAAAAATCTAAAAAATATATGAACACACTTATTTTTTACAGACATTTTAAATTCAAATTTGGACGAAATTACATAAAAAAAACCTAGAATAACTATTTTAGTTATTTTGTTGTGATTGAATAATATTATTCGTGGGTATTTGAAACTTCTAAAGTGTACTATTATATATCTATGATAGTATCACGGTTTTTGTTGATGTATAACGCTTTATAAGTACCTAATGGATATTGTGATATGATTAATTTGGAATTTATTATAGGTCAAATTTTGGTTTAGTACCATAGATATGTATATAACATGTCGTATACCTAGACTGACATACCGTCTCCGCTCAGAATCGTTTTTCTTATACAATGATAATTATATCGTTGAATTCAAATTTAATATCATCCATTATACAGTGACCCACTTGTAACCTACTGTACAGCAGAGCGACACCCACTTGCCCACCTTTTTTGATATTGATAGTATTATATTCAAAAAAAAATTACTACCTATTATGATAATTTATTTATTTGTATTATTTAAATACAAACAATTATAACGCTACGACAAAGCATATAATATTGTCATTCTGTATCAATTATAAATTTGGTTTCTAATTCTTTGACTTGAGTGGTCCTTTTTCGAACGAAAAGGTCTAACAAATTGTTAGCTCACTATTGTCCATTTGTTTTCTCTTTCCATGACCCACGCAAAACGTTGAAGAAACGCATTCACTTAAAATTGATTTTTTTTTATAGCTTTCGAGTAATCTTGATAAGGTATAGAGAATAATATTTTTGATGGTTTGACATATCACTTTCGTATTTGATTTTATTATTCAGCTCACAAAATTGTGGATTTTAATGGATATATTAAATTATTTAAAGACAATGAATGTGTTTTGTCTATGTCGTGCGTGGTCCAGAGAGCAAAACAAAAATAGTGTGCTTGACATCTTCTTAAGTATACGACACGACGTGGTGTAGTGTGAATCCAACTTAAAATAATACCTAAATAATAATAATAACAATAATTATAATAGTACGGTTGTTGCGATGGCGACGACGGTAGAAACGGCGAGGTTCACCGTTTCTTGTTGTTCTGCATCCGGGCGGCCGCGTTCCTCTGCCGGTCAGCGCACAAAGGCATATGCCTCTCCGCAGACGCCTCGTTGAAGGTCCGACCACAGTGGGGGCACTTGACCAGGTCCGAGTCGACCTCGTCATCCTGGTCCGCTACGTTCTCCAGCTCTGGCGGCAAGTCCTTCACTGTGCCGCCCGCTGCCAGGTGCCGCTGAACGGCCCTCGCGGCCCGCACGTTGCGCAACAGCTGATCGTGTTTCCTGCGCCACGCGTCCTTTTTCTTCTGGAGCTTCTCGGCAACCCGCTGGTCCTCCTTTTGGCTCTGCACATAAAACGAAACGTTATTGACAGCTCTTGTGGTCTACCGTGGGTAGTGAGAGAATGGGTATGGGAAACTCTCGATTTGGGTGGGAAAGAAGTTGAGCACTACACCGCCGGCCGCAACGCGCAACAAAGTGGGAGTCGGGTGAATTGTGTTAGTGAAAACTCTACATTTCTTATTTTCTTATTTTATTTCGATTAACTTATCTACGAACAATTTAAAGTATTTTCGTATAATTTAGTGGTAATGGCAGAGGCGAGAAAATGATCACTAATTTCCACGGCATTAACTTATAGCCAAACAATTAAAGCTAAGTTCAAAAGTTGATGTTTCTTAACTAAACTAGTTAGTTTAATAATTGAGTTAATTTAAAAAATAAATACCTTAAAGGGTGTCAGAGCTAACTCAGTAACACGTCTTTAGTACAGAAACTTGCCTTACAGGTATAAGAACTATACCTACTTCAATTCTAACTCAAGTTATTTTTTTTCATTTACTCGCCTCCGATTTTACGACCTCTTCTCATGTATACGATATACCTACCATGATTGTTTTGGTTGGTCAATAATATTTTCCTATACAACCTTCAATGTTTTGTAAAAACGCTACGGCCTACGACATGTTATGTATTGTTTTCAATATCGTGGACAAATTTGGTTTCAAACAACCTGTGTGACAACAAAGTGGATCTTTTTCGCGCGATACAGTCTTACAAACAATTTAAAGGTGTGTAAAGTCCTCTTAAACACATGTTTACTCTATACCAGCGGTTCTTAACCTGTGGTCCGGGGCCTCTTGGGGGTCCGCGGCAGCCTCAACACATAACATACATCAATAAGTGACAGAGTGCATTATTACAATATTATTGGATTATTATTTTTTTTCATATATAATATGTAGATTCTACACCAAATAATTGTATTATTAGTATTTATTAAGTAGGTTATCAGTTTTTCTTGTTCATACGAAATGTACATGCGTACAGCACTGTAGTCTGGGCAGTCTTATATTTACTACCACTATAATTGCAGTTGATCGATCGTAGTATCGTACTCAATTATAGTTTTATATTACATTTTTATAAAAAATTAATTGTAATAAAAATAATTGGAAATGTGCATGTTTTGTTGTCTACTAATGTAATTTTTAATTTAAAATAATTATTATAATTTTGGTTATGATAACATGAGATGTTTTGTAAAAAAATTTGTAAGGGGGTCCGCGATTTCTAAAAATCTTTCATCAGGGGTCCGCGATCTACAAAAGGTTAAGAACCGCTGCTCTATACAATCGACGTGCGTCGGAGGACTCACACATAGTCCTTAAATAGGTTACCAACCTTTTTCTTGAACGACGTAACGTCCACGCCGGCCTCAGCGGCCACAGCTTCCAGCCGCTTTTTGCTCGTGTCGAACACCTTGCGCTTGCGGTCACGGTCGCGTGTCCGCCGGCACACCTGCTCGTGCTTGGGCAGCCTGTCAGCCGCAAAGTCTCTGGCACACAGCGGGCACCGGGCCATGCCTTTTGCTGGTGGGCCCCTGTCGGCGGACAGTTGCGGTTTCAGGGGTTGTGGTCGTGGTGATGACCCCTTGGCCGGCGTGGCGCGCTTAACGACCGGTGGCGGTCGGGGGGCGGGCTTGGCCGGCAGTGGTGATACGCGCCGAGTGGCGGTAGGCTTTTGAGGTACCTTGGCCGCCCTGACCAACGGTTTCTGGATGCCGGCCACCGTGGCCGCGTTCACGCTGGCCACTGCCGCGGCCGCACCAGCACCCGCCGCTAGCGCGTTAATCACCGTCGGCTGCACGACCGGTGGCAATAGCAATCTGTTGGAGTCGTTGGACGTGACCGTTGGCTTTTTAGCAATGCGGCCCACGCCACCTCCGCCAACATTACCGTTGACTGTGGCCAGTGGTTTTTTCACGACCGTCGCGGTCTTGCTGTTTATTCGCGGCGTCAGTCGCTGCAACTGTTGCTGCGGACAAACGAACACTAATATTATTACACAACATTATCTGCGTAATTTTAATACTATCTTTATGTATAGTATAATTCAATAATTGTGTCAATTTGAACTTTTAAACTTAAATACAAAATTAATTTTGAATATTTTTTTTTATTTAAACTCTTTGTGCAATTTATATTCAATAATTAGCCTATACACATGCAACAAAACTTAATAATAATTTATCAAAATAATAATTTATCACTGAGCTAGTAAAATACTTGCAATAACAGTATTTAGAGAGTATTATGATATATAGGTACTAGTGATTGGCCGGCTTAGAATAAACGATTACCGGCACTACTACGCCTATATTGAAGGAAGGCTATACAGTTTAATACTTTAATGGGTTCAGAATTTATTAAATAAAAATCAAGACGATTCAGCAACTTTTTCCATGGCAGTTGGACAGTGTTTAGTATTTTTACTACACAACTTGAAAAACTTAAATAAATTATTAAACATGGTTTCTGAATCAATATTTTCGATAATGAATATACAATAATATTAATTAGGTATTAGCTAATCTCGATTAACTAAACATTTTCTTAATGTAAATATTATTGTAAATGCCGTTCAGATAAATTAAATAAATAAGTAATTAATTTCAACAGTTTTATATGACGGTTACTATTCATATTTTTTAACCACTTTGACCGAGAAAAATCGAAATATACAACTGATCATTCGATTGCAATAGTAACAGTATCATAAATTTGTTTTTTTTTAAATAAGCAAATATTACAATCTACAATATACAATATACAACATACAATCCACAATCTCTAAAATTAAAAACAATAAATACATTTATAGGTGCACTGACTGCACTGAGATATAGATAAGAATATAGTTACATGGTACATCAGCATATTATACACAAGGGCGCCCATAGGGGGGGGCCGAGAGGGGCCATGGCCCCCCCCCGCTTTTTTACCAATGTTTTTAATTTTTATAATATTACAGTATATTTTTATAAATATTTTAGAAGTTTTGTAGCATTATATTATTTTTATTATTTTAATAAAATAGATCAATAATTGATTAATCATAAGTGATTAGTGATAAAATTTTCTGAAGTTATTAGATGAAGTCACATTTCTACCTTCAATAAAAAAAATGTCTTTTAATAGCAGCTACACTTCCATCTACTACATGTAGCGTTGAAAGGTCTTTTAGGTTTGTATTACAATTTATAATATATTTTTATTTTTACTACTTCAATTATTAATTATGTTTTATATTTGCTTTAAATTAGCTCACTTAAAAGACTTAAAACATGGCTTCGTAGTACTGTAACTGAGAACCGCTTGAATGGCTTGGCATTAATGAATGTTTACAAAACTTATGTGCAAGCTCAAAAATCAAACATTATAGATGAAACAATAAAATTATTTGGTATGGAGCCTAGGCGCCAATTTTTATTTAATGACCAATAATCTAATTAATCTAATTAGTTAATCTATATATATAAAAATGGAGACAAAAAATTCGAAATTGCATCAGTTGAGAATGGCTGGGCCGATTTTGCTCAAATTTTTTTTTAAATGTTCGTAATTGCCAGGTGAAGGTTTTTACGAAAGAAAATTTTTAAAAAGTCAACCGAATAATTAGAAAAACTGCAAAAACTATTTATTGATGTCTGGGATTTGAACTCGATACCGTTGTCTTTATTTACTCTATGGTGTATTATATTATATTAGTTGCTATTGGTTAATCGGGTATGTTTGTTGATTTGTATTATTATTTTTGTAAATATATCTTATATATAAATGAATGACCTATGGGAAGAAGATACGCTAATTTAAAAAGGGTTAAATTTTTTTTTTTTTATTCATCGGATTTTAGTACGGTTAGGTTAGGTTAGGATTTATAGGTAGGTGGAATTAAGTAAAAACGTCTAACTTGGTATAACTTTGGTACTTTTTGAGTTAAATCATACACTTACGTACAAACAGCACAGGGTCCGCGATCTACCGCAGGTAAATTACCTATCTGATAATGTACTGCTGCAATTCAGAATTTTTATTCCGGCAACAGAAAAGTTAAGATAAATCTAGAACATCATACACCGAATATTAAATAACGCATTGAACAATGTTTGAGTCATATAGAGTTGGTACATTTAAAGGGAAACGAAGTGCACGGGATCAGCTAGTATAATATAATAATTTATAAGATTTTTTTTTCAGTGCTCTTGATGTCTCATATAATATTTTGATGAAAATATACCTACTGTTAATCATATTATGGTGTCATCAGTTTGTTTACTAAGTTTGTAATGAAACTATAAAATACTATACCTACCTAATAATATGTTATGGCTATGTATAATATATGTATAATATAAACTTTGCCCCCCCCGGTGAAAATTTCTGCGGGCGCCCTTGATTATACATAGCATAGTATATTCTTATCTATCTCAATGAGTAAGAGAACCTATTATTATTTATGGTGTGCATATATTATCATTATAATATAATAATAATATATAATGTTTGTGTTTTCAGTATAGGTATTTACGAACGTTGTTTTGATGCAATTTTCTGCGTTAATCATATCACACGATAATATGAAACACGCACATGCATTACACTGTGCAGCTATTTTTGATACTACTTAACATTCCTACTACAATACTTATAATAAATAAATAATAATAATACTCTACTAGGTATCATGCTATCATGCTGTTAAAATATTTAATTACGGTAAAAATACAAGCCCTATAAAAAAAAATGTAATGTAAACTACGACAAAATCGATAACTCTTTCATTACATGCTATTTGGTCAAAACGTATTTTATTTTTTTACGAAAATCCGTGAACACACGAACGACCCAATATCAAACTTTTTAAATTCATATTTCATGTATTTAATTTTAATACGACCACTGTGCACAAAATACCACCTGTACATAATTTCAACAACAAAAATTAATATAATATTATAAACTCATCACAAAATTATTTTTATGTCTAATTAAAATATAATTACACATATCTATAGTTATATAAATAAGCTATACCGATAAATTATACTTAAATATTGATGTTATATATTATTAATAGTCACTTTTGACTATATGAGAAGAATACGAGCAGTTCACTTATTGATATCAATAAAATACTTACAATATTGTCTTGATAATAATAATTATAGGTAGCAGAGCAGACAATAATTCGATAAGTTGCGTATAATATAATGAAATGTTATATTTGCTTACACAAGTGCACAATACATTTTTGAATAATTACAAATACTGTTTTATAAATTCACAATTTAAAGAGCATACATAAATGATAAATCTATATACAAACAAAAACAGTTTTGATTACATGGTACAGTTTATACCATTAATAAATTAATATAAAATACTCACAACTAAAAAGTGTAAAAACAACAGCGAATAAATACATAATACTATACTAAAATATTGCATCAAAACTACAAAAACATCAAACATTTAATATTTTATAAGATTAAAATATGTAGAATTTCTGCAAGCTTAAAGAAACGTTTAGCTATAATTGAACAACAAATCTTAGTGACAAAAATAAATTGGCAAAGTATAATGCAAACATTATTGCCAAATAAATGGAAATAATATTATTTTAAAACGATATATAATTTGTGGGAGGCAATATTATACCTGTTAATAGATATTATCGTCGTTGGCATTTCATTGGCATTCGAGTGTTTAACTTTCCGTATGTCGTTTTTTAAATAACCATTAAATTTTTAAAAAAAAACTGTTTAATAAGTTCATATACATCCATAAAATAACTAAATAGGTACTTTCCTATAGTGGCGTGACGTCACAAATATATTATATTTAAAAATGTTTGTATACACTATACAGTATATAATTTTTTTATCATGAAACACTAGCATTATTTTGAAAATTATTAACGTTTAAGAAAATATTTTTTTTACATTATTTTAAACACCAAAAAAACAAAATTATTGGTCCACTACTCCTCTCGTTTAAACTATGAAGATCTTTTTTTTTACATTTGAATCGATGGCGCAGCGGGAATTCTTTCGCAGTACTTCCACGGTACCATCAGACTATACAGGGTGATTTTTTTTTATCGAAGAGCGCTCGTTATTTCTGTAAGTATAGACATTTTTCCAAAAATTTTAGATAGGTAAATGCTTTTCTACATTTAAAAAACACTTTTATTTTTTTCACCCTTATATTTATTGGTAAGACTATATAAATAAAAATAAATTAAACCAAATTTATTACATTTTAAGGTTATAATTCATAAAAAAAAAATAGTTTTATTATTTTATAAGATTTTTATTATGGGTTTCCATTTGAAAATCAAAAGTTGATAATAGTTTGACCAATAAATATAAATATAAAGGTGAAAAAAATTAAAGTGTTATACAAATGCAGAAAAGTATGCAACTAAAATTTTTAGAAAAAAAAAATTTGGTAAAAAGTATATACTTTCAGAAATAATGCGTGTTCTCCCATAAAAAAATCACTCTGTATACTATATAGGTCTATATTATATTATATTTTATTTTATATCCTTCTAAGTTATAACTCATACACTTCTCATCCGAAATTCAAATTTTAAGGATCGAAAAAATCTGAAAAATATTCTGCTTCGGAATATGAAATTAAAAATATATATTATAGTAGCAAAAAGTGAAATAATTATAAGTATGAGAAACTGTACAAAATTTAATTTAAATAAAAAAATATTTTAATACTTCAAATAAAATTATGTAAAAGAAATATTTTCAAAAACGTTAATATAGTTTTTGAAATAATGAGTGGTAAAATAAAATGAAATAAAGTAATCACCTGCTAGATTATGTTTCATTGATTTTTAGGTATATACATTCGTGAAATATAAATCAAAATTTACTTTAAGGCGAACTATCTTTAAGGGGTCGTATTTAGGCAATATTCTATATTCAACGTGAGTTATGTGTGACTGGTGTGTAGTGATTGATCACTAGTGTGCTTGATTTCCTCGAACTCTTTATGTAATTAAAGATAAACTACGGCTAAGATTCTTGGAAATCAGTAACGTATATACTCGCCGTCACACGTCACTAAATTTTCCAAACAAAAAAGTTTCAACATGAAATTTCTAAAAAGCGGGAGAAAAATTCACCCAGTACCAAAAGCCAGATTTTAATTTTGAAAACATATTTGAATTCCTTATTCTATTTTCTAGGCCATGTAGGAAATTGATTTTCGATATTTTGTATTGTTTAGTACCAAATTAATTATATAAGTATAATAGTATATATATATTTATTTTTTCATAATTTACCTATTTACTTTAATGTAACAAAAAAAAAAGTCAAAAATCCATTTCCTACATAACCTAAAAAAGAGAATAAGGAATTCAAATATGTTTTCAAAATTAAAATATGACTTTTGGTACTTGGTGAAATTTTGTTCCGCATGATGCGGTCTAAGTCTAAATACACAAAAAAATGATCCACTGTCAACAGTCTTAACATTTAAATACGTATATAGGCATAAAATCGTACACCAGAATACTTGAGATGAAAACTAGCAGACAGGCAATGGCGAATAATGTTGTAAATTATAATAACTTACCATCACACGGGTTTAAAGAGAATTTTTTTTTGAGTGGTGGGTGTGCTCTAGTTTATCGAGATATACGATATATATTTGGATTTGGTAGATCAGATTTAAAATGAAAATGAACAGTATTATAACTTAACGTTCTAACGTTGACTTAACTGAACTAACGTCCAACACAAATTAATCATTTCCCACTTTTTAACTAATCATGGTGTTTTTTGTCGTTTATATTTGTCATGACGTTTGTTCAATAAAAATATTTACTGCTTTTACCATGAAAATATTAAATAGATATAATATGACATTACATTAAAGTACTTTGTTATGGACATTTCGGACAATATCTATACTTAAAGAAAACCTTACAATTTTATTTTTTTCATTGGATTGGATGAATTTTGGTGAGGGTAAGGTCTATGAACGCCAATTTCTGCCGATGGTATAATTATAATGTAGTGTGCTTATGATCCGCGACTCGACAAATTTGTGCCACCACGCTACTTACTAGCTACTTTACCGTGTAACAACTCACAACAATGTACATAATACCACACAACTACTCTATTAAATAATTGTTACGTGTTGGATATTATTATGATGACGAGCCAACATAATATTTTATAACAACAGTATGCGCATGCAGCATGCCCAACATCGGCGGACGTCATTGCGACGATAATGACCTGTTGATCGTAGTCGGCGTCGTCGTCACCGCTACCGTCACCTCCATCACCGTAACCTCCGTCACCGGCGTCACCTGCACCTGCCGCCGCCCGTTTCGGACCCCCTCCGCCCTTATCCGGTCCGGCTGCGGGTGGCTGTGGTGGCCGGTTTGCGCCTCCAGCCCTGCCGGGTCCGGTACCGCCGTCCAGTAACCACTTGAGCTCGGGCGCCGACTGGGCAGTCTTCATTTTGCCGGCTCCCCCGCGGAACGATTCCGACAGCAGCTGTCCGCCCAGGTTGGGCAGCCGGCCGAACAGGGCGAGAAGTTCGCCACGTACGTCGCCGCCCACCAAGTCGGCGCCGCCACCCGCGGTAAAGCAGACCGTCTTGCACAGCGGATCGTCGTCCGCACCGGACAGCGGTCTCAGGGGCCGCGACCGGTCGCGACCCGTCAGACTCCGCCGCCGCTGCCGTTTCTGTTGCTGGTGGTGCTGGTAGCCCGGCCCCTGCTGCTGTTGGCTCCGCTCGGCAAACAGCTGTCGTACCTTCGCGCCGGGTCAAGTTAATTAGACAATACTGCAATAACGCACAGCGGTACGTAGTTTGGTCGGTGACCAAATTATAAAACATTTACGTGAACAAGTTACGATTAATCGTACCTACGGCAGAGTATATGCAATTTGGTTTGATACCTACGATTTCTTAAACGATAGTCGACTGTCGTAACGAGTATATAGCTATGCACAATGGTATAACGCTTTTAGTACGACGATATTTAGTCCGAGCGAACAAAACACATATTATACAATGGAGTGCGCAATACAAAAAATATTGAAATACCATACCCAAACAATACAGTCACAAAAAAATAATTTATATACACACTATAATATAGACTCATGGGTGATTTGATAGGTTTTTGGAGTTATGGGCAATACACATACAATATCATTATACTTTTACTGTAGTAGTATAGTGAAATGTGTAAAATACATATTATAATTTGATAATTAACTAACAACTAAATAAGTAAACGATTCCGAGATAACAATCGAATCGTTCAGATGCGTCGACGATGAAGCCGCCGTCGTCACTCCGTGCTAGACATATTATGTTTACGGTTATTATTCGTACGGCGACATCGATATAATATATCATATTGAGCTATTAATTATTGAGTAGACTACGCAACGGATGTTGTAGTGTACCTAACATAAACGTCCATTCATCGATACGTGGTAGTCAAAACGATGGTCGTATGCAGAAATATGTATAACAAAAATAAGGTTAGAATTTATACGCCTTTATTAGTAGGTCTTGGTTTTGGAGTCATTGATCAACTATAATATAATAATATGATATTATGGTCTAAGTCACTGTGACAAAATATGTAATAGGTACCTGCTTAATTATGTGTGAGAACGGTAGCAGTGGCACCTAATTCATCTATGACATATGTAATTTTTTAGAGGGGGGGCCCACCATGGGGCACGGCAGAGGATCCCGCTGTGGATCCAGAATTTGAGTTAAAGCACGTACAAAAAAATTATTAAACATTGCATTATGTAGGTGCTTTAATCGCATCTGATTCTTAAATTTAAAAAAAGGCGGGGTAATGGGGGGTTATCTACGATGTCATAGTATATTTTAGACTTTTCAGCACCACTGCACAGCTAAATGGTCCCTAGCAACATGTCAAATTATAATTTGAAGTATTGTTTTATAATCTAAATATTTTTAACCATAAAATATTTCATCAATATTATATGTTATATAGTTATATTTTTATACACAATTAAATTTGCATAATATATTGTAATTTGTACTTCAGATGGATGTGGTAATAGCTACCAATATAGTAGACATCGTAATAAGTATAATTGAACTATATATAATATTTAAACGATATTGAATGCATTGCATAACATCAATCTATTTCGTTCGATGATAGCGTGTGAACACAAAATATATTTTTATATAAACCCATTACAGAATTACACTATATAGTGACTTGTACCTACAGGCTGCAGTTTCGTACTCTTCACTAATCCAAAATAAATCCTATCAAGATATAAAACATATAATATATCAAGAAACTTACATTATTAATTCAAAACTTAAAATTAAATAGGTAACCAAAAGAAACCTTAACAATAACTAGGTAATGAGTTTTTCGGTTATCAAAAATGTTATAACTTATAAAGATTAAAGTTAAAAAATGTTTGTGTGAAATTGAACTTGATACACTATAACTTTTATTAATGTTACTATACTTGCCAATATTTAACATTTTAACAATATAGAGAGTAAAAAGTAAAAACTATACTAGAGTAAATTAACTTATATCTTACACGGAATGTGACACCACTAGCCACAACCAACAAAATAATAATGAAAAGCACCTTATTACAGGCGTCAAATATGTGAAATACATACCAAACCATTATCATAGTTGTCAATATTGACATCAGTAGGATGTATAATTTACTATAATTCTATGACGAAATATGCGTGAAAAAGGTCCGTATATAAAATGTCCAATTACCAAATGTCCCGTCAAAAAAAAAATGGCCTATAATTTAAATTAAGTATTTTTTCATACCTAATACTTTACCTACGTATATGACGTGATGACATGTCTGATATCTCTATACAACGGGACAACTTGATTTTTACTGAATGAATAAAAACCCCAACCTAAGTAGGTACCAATAGTCTGTAAACGAGTTACCTCCATCTATACTTTCGCTATATTTATTTTTAACACTCATAGTAGGAACATAATTTATTATTTTTTATTATTATAATATACGCAAAAAATAGAATATTAAGCTTGTAACTTACCTTTCCCTTTACGTCGACCTGTACGACAGAATCGCCGCCACTTCCGGATCCTGCTGGTCTGCGCTGAGGCGGCTGCGGCTGCACAGGGGCGATGGCGCCGACAATCCGCCGGACAGGTGGCACCGGAAGATCACCGCTTCCGGTGGTCTTGGTCGATGAGGTAGTTGACGACGTCGTGGACCCAGCGACGGTGCCTTTGACAGCCGCCACGGTGGCCAAATGCCTCTGCTGGAACTTTTTCTGTACAACATCGTATAATATGATTATAGTAAAATATATCATTATAACACTCTGCAGTACACTACGGTCTTAGAAGGTCGCCTACTCGCCTTGGTATTGGCTTGATCATAATGTATACACCCATTTATATATAAGTACGGAAAAATTTTTAATAATTATTTTTACACTATCTGTAGCTACATAAAATATAGTTATATGTGACTGACTATTGCCAATCAAACGTTCAGAAGGTCTAATTATAATATCGTTATGTTAGTATCACTAACTTTGTACGTACTATAATAAAAATGTACTATTATAACAGTTAATAGGAGGTATATTTTAATATTTTAACATTTATTATAATATATACAGGATGTAACAGGAAGAACTGATGAAAAAAAATGTATGCTACTTAAATGTATGACAAAAAATTATGAAAATTATATGGTTAAATGTATAATTTAAAAAATATATTCATGTCAAGAAATTCCCCAAAATATATTTAAAAAAAATGTATTACGTTCTAAATAGTAAATGAATTTAATCAAATTAATATTGATGTTTTAAAAAATTCTTAAAAATAAAGTACATGACTTGGTTAAATTTTTTTACCACTAAATTGTTCTTATAATCAGACTCACAAATAGAGTATTTATGATTTTTCCAAAAAAATTTGCACCAAATTTATAATTTTTTTACTAAAAAAAAATTCAAAAATATTAATTAGATCAAAAGTTATTTCATCTGTGAGGTCTCCCCTGCTACATCCTGTATAGGCAAATGTTAGTTAACTATGAGATTTATATTAATTTATGAACTAAGTAAACTATGCATGTCGACGTTTTTTTTTAAGTGGTTACAACTGAATTAGGATGACTCTTCAATTACAAGAAAAATCTAAATGTGAAAACTAAAATGTAAATTAAAATTATTTTACAGATGATCCCATCTCATCATAGCGTCTTCGACCTTCGTTAGTTGTTGGACAATTAAGAAATTGTGACATGGCTATAATTACTGGCTACTGTTAATAGTACGATTTTAGAACTTACGCATAATTTATAAGTAATAAGTGATTACTGACAGAGGTGGGCATTAACTAGTTAGCTTATTTTCTAATCAACTTATGAACTTAACTAGTTTAATTTACAGTTGAAATAACTTAGCTTTTCTCAGTTGATTTTAAAAAAAATCCATCAAGTTAAAAACATTTTTAAATTTTTAGTTTATACGTAAATAATAAAATACAAAAACACAAAAAGTTCTGTCCTTTTTCTTCATAACTTAATTTTGTGTACATTAATATAATTTATGAAGTTGTAAATTATATATTATGCGAGTTGTAACTATAAATGTTTTTAATAAAATTAATAATTTTAATCTACACTTTGACAATTATTATTGTTATGTTTTAAATTGTTGATGTTATGTAACTTAAAGTATAAGTTTTTTTTTAGGTCATATACCTACCTACTCATCTTCACGTATTATGACATTCAATTGCTATACGATATAAAAAAATATGTTTGTTAAATTATTGATTTGAAATGAGTATAGTTTAAATTAGTAAATAATATAGTATAAAGTAAAAGTAAAATGATATACAGTGTACATTATCATAAAAGTTCAATAAAATTGTTTTTTATCCTACTAATATTATTAAAGTGAATGTTTGTTTCTTTGTTACTCTTTCACGTAAAAACTACGAAATGGATTTTAATGAAACTTTACAATAATATAGCTTATACATCAGAATAACACATAGGCTACAAATCATCCTCCTAGGTATAACCAGGGGATGTGCTCAAACGGGGATTTAGAGATTTACGATGGAAATTTTTGTTTATAAATGGTCGCCATGGGTTTTAAAACTATTAAAATAAATAATTATTGATTGCCGTGAAATCAATGTATTAACTGAGTATTAAGTTAATATTTTTTCCTTTATTAACTTTTAACTTATAGAGTTAAATTTATAATTTATTAACTGTTAACTTTTAACTTATCGATCTTGTGTCCTCTTAACTTAACTTAACTTGAGTTAATTATTTTCATTAACTTGCCCACCTTTGATTACCTAGTGATTACTATATAGTAATCAAAAGTGGATAATATGTTGGAGTAGTAAATGACACAATTTAATTAGGTAGGTAGGTTAATCAATAACTGTTACAGCTGCTACGTTTTTCGGCACTTCGTCAATTATGGTAACTTTAAACTATGTCTCTTAGCCCTTAGGTATATATTTACCTCTAAAACCTATCGAACATAACTGTACAATACTGTTATCCATATTGGTGTATTTTAAACTAAAAATTTGGGAGTATTTATTTATTTATTTGTTAACGGGCTCTGCCCTATTCAACAGTTTAACATAATACAATAATACATAATTGTATTATGTATTAGTTATTATTATTATTAGTGTTAAATGTAAAATATTCTTTCAAAACGACGAAATCACATAAAAAGAGGAGGAGTCTAATTTATATATTTTCAAGTGTCACGATTTATCTTCTAAGGCCGTGATATCTGCGTTATTCTGAAGCAAATTTACAATAAATCATATATAGGTAGACAATTAACCAGTTGTCACCGTCACTCACTTGCATGTCCATCAATCTCGATTGCTGTTGACCAGCCGCCGCCGGTGCCCGCAAAGGCGACGACGCCATGATCACGGCAATATACTTTTTCTACAGTGGTCGTACCTTTCGTTGTCCTCGCCACCGTTTTGCGCAGGTGCTCGTACAACGAAAGCTGTTTGGATTGTCGCTGGTGCAGTCGTCGCCGAGTTGCGTACTCTACATAAATCATAATACACGTATAGAATTAAACACTAAATCATTGCTATGACAAAATATAAAAATTCGAGGTATCTCGAACCTTGATCGTATAAAAAGTTCAATAAATGCCTAAAGTCTAAAACCCTGTAATTTGTAACCGTTAACACTGTAACCTAGAAAAGTTTTACACTGATCAGTGTGTGTGTGTGTGTGTGTGTTTGTATAAATTGTTTAACTATTAAATTTATAAAATATATTAAAGCTACTATAATAGTTAGGTACTAGATAATTGTACCAATGTTTTTATATCAATGGTACACATGGTAGATGTAATAAATAAGGTGTAATACAATTATCTATAGTATTTATTGTTATTTTACTCTCTATAAATTACATGGATTTAACAATTAGATCCAGTAGGAGGGGACTTGGGTGGGCAGTAAAATTAATATTTCCTTGCCGAAAATGTTCGCTTAAGAAAATAATCTACAAATAAATAATAGCAATTTAATGTAAATAATGTAACTCAGGCTAATAACCACCCAGTTAATGCCTTAAAATTAATAAAATATACAATATATTATATAGGTACTTATTAGTAATATACAAATTTTTGCGTATAGGGGTAGGTACTATAGTGATATTTAACAACAAACATGTTTTAAAATAGTATGATTCCCAGGGCCGTCGGTTTCATCATTAATAAAAAAAATATTCACTGAACTCTTTACGATTTCACCACGATTAAAACAAATTAAAAATCTTCTTCTCGTTTATTATAATATTATATATTTATATGTATGAATAATTTTAATCAATCCAATTGCATTACATAATATTATTATATAGTTTCTCCTAATCTCCAACATCCGTAGCATTCAGAAAATATATTATATGATGTTAAAGTTTTAATTAAAATAATTATTGAAGGTTTTCAAATAATAAATAATAACTGAGATTAAATAGTGATACCTACCAATAACCATAGATTTTAGGGCTATCGGATATACAGCTAATTTGGTCTGATCGGTCGATTATTCTGCCCAGTTTGGTATAGACACCAGAGTATTCACTTTCCTACTAAATTATGTTCAGTTAAATATTGAATATAAATACTATAATATAGCTACAATGATTTATACTCAAGAAATAATAATAACTATAATATAACGGAGATTCGTCGAGTTTATAAGGTGGTGGTGTTCAGTCATATTATACGGTTTATTGGTCAAGTAATTAATACAGCTTTTTCGTGATGACGATTATCATCGTGGTGAATGGAATAAATATCATGCAACTCTTTTTTTTTATTATTATTACCACCAACGTCGTATTATTTTAATTTATAGGGAGTTATATTATATATAGGTATATACAGGTACCTATAGTACCTACGTACGCTACGTTGGCGGCCGTTTCCGATGGAATGGAATATTTTAATAATTGTTATCCTACTATTATAATGGTACATAATATATTCATGACAAGTAAGAATGAGCCCGAAAAAAAGAAGCCACGAAACAACCCATTAAAATTAACATGCCAAACTTTTGGAAAGATGTATACCAAGTATAGGCGGTAAGTAGTTAAAAAAAAAATATATAGAATAAATAAATATAACTGATAAATATATTATTTTACAATATAATTTTTTTTAAAATAAAAAGTTAAAATCGATAGCATTGCACATCTAAAATGTGCAAACAAAAAATTATTCAAAATTTAAAAAAAAAACTATGATCTATTAATTGTCTGAGTATAATAGGTACTACTATAATACAAGTACCTATATATTATATAATATACATTTTTTTTATTGAAAATTTCTGTACTATGAATGGAATGCAATGAAAAACAAGTTGAACAAAAATAATAATACGTCATCTTAGCGTATACCAGGATGTAAGTAACAAAAACAAAGTATTATCAATAGTTTTATCATAAATACCTACCCACTGGAAAAATGTGCAAGTTTTCACAAATCTTTATAATTAGAAAATACATTTTATAAAATAAGTACATGTTTTTTAGAAAAATTTTAAGTATGCTCAAAAATAAATAAATAATTATGCCTCTTTTTTCTAAAATGAAACGAAATATCATGTAAAATTATGCATTTTAAATTTTAGCATTTTATCTCATTACTTACATAAAATTGGTTTCTAGCTTGGTCTGCTATACAAATCGAAAGCATAATATAGAAAATGCAATAATATCCATTTTACAATCATACAATTTGTTAGTCCTATATATTGTGCTTAGTACTTACCTAGATGACGTATTCTGTATAATATAGATTTAATTTGGTATAGTTTGATAATAAAAAATAAAACAATAACAAAAAAAATAAGACATTTTTATTACATAACTACATAAGCTATAATAATCAATAAACCAATATATTATTATTGTGATAATTTTTTACCATTTTCTTCACAAGACTTAATATAAAAAATACGGGAATGCATTTGAAAGAAAAATTTCGTTTTATGTTATTTACAATCAAAACGTTATAAAAGTTTAAGGTTATTTGGAATAGCTTCAATACCTATTAAATGTAATAACAATAACTAATGTAATGGCCCGGATACGGAATATAATATAATCATTTCTAATGTCCGTAACTCCGTATGTATGAAATAAATATTTCTACGAAACCAATATATTATCTTTTAAATAAATGGATTTAAAATTGTTTCGTTCAACGAAATTCTATAAATTATGTTTTGCGTTATAAATAATAAATAATTCCGGATACTTCTTCTTATTTTTTAAATTAATTAATATTTTTTTCTTTCTTTTTCACTCACTCACGTGTACCATTCAAAAGAAGTTTAACTTCCCGCGCGCGTACTGGTAACACACATGGTTTTTCTTTTTAATTATTGTTTTCCGTTATAATTGCGTTTCCAAATTTCAATTGCTTTTGTCAAATATAATGTTATAATCGTTACGTTATTGTAACGTTTGCAAGCCCTGAAAAAATATCAAAATAGGAAATATTCTAGTTTCCGAACAATTTATATTGGTGCCGATTATTTAAATATTATTAATCATTATTATTCTTTAGTCAATTTGTTTAAAATTATAAATGGTTTTATTTTATTTATCGCAGTTTACCGTACAAGAGTAATAATTACTATTATTTGAACTGACACGATGAGACCAGGAGTGATAATTCCGTGCACGAGTTATTTGTCGAGTGTGCCTACATAATATAGTCCCAGGATTCCGGTGCTTAACGCTCGCGCGATTTTAACTGAACGTCACGCATCGTTGTCGTAGTACGTCATATTATTATTATTATTATTGTCAACGGCTCCGCATCGAAGAAAACAATACGATAATAATAATGAAAGTATAAAAGGGCGTGCAAATACCATATCAATACCGCCACGGTTAGTTTGATCGGATGACTGTGTAATAATATATTTTAATTAAACTACAATTGTAATGTAATAAACTACCTATATAATATACTATATAGCCCGATATAGGTACACTATACGTACCATATTTGGTATAAATTCGGTTAAAATAAGTGGGAAAAAAATGCTTCTCTAGTAAAGATGATGTCGATAGCCAATATAAATAATGTTTAACTTTTCGTATCTTGTAAAGTATTATAATAACAATAATAATATTGTTTATTACGGAAAAAATTCTAATTACATTTTAAATATAAGACAGTTACTTGAGTATTAAGTTGGAAAGGAGAGAGAGAGAATGAAAAAAAAATAATACATATATATATATAAATCAAGTTGTGTGTGTGTAATGTGTACTGTACATAATAAAATATAATATAATTTAAGGAGAGGAAAAACTAAAATAAAAAAAAAATATATACATAAAAATTTAAAACTAATGAATATATGAAGAGAGATCATTAAATGAACAGTGAAAAAAATTTACATTATTATTTATGGAATACCCTATAGTTATTAAAATATTAGAAGGAGAGAATGACATATATTTGGATGAAATGTTTGGTGGATAGAAAGTTTGTTTATGTCTAGAGTTTAAGGGGTTCGACTAGTTCTGGGCAATCTATAATATTGTGTAATAGTTTATAAAGGAATTAAAAATTTAGTTATTTTAATCTTTTTTCGAGTAGTAATATAGAGAAGAGCCTATTTATAATGCTATAATCAGAATGAGGAGCTCTATAAATGTGACATTGAAAGCTTAAAAATCTTAAACAATTATTCTGAATTTGAGAGAGGTCTTTATTTTGGGTTATAGAGTTAGTGTGCCAAATTAAATTTACATATTCCTGTTGAGAGTTATACCTCATATTACAATTTAAAATGTATTTATATCATCTGCAGATATAAATTAATTTTAATCGTGTACATAGAGGTACATAGTTATCTAATGTATAAATTATTTTATATTATATTTTTATTACTTTATTAGTCATCATAATATTTTTAGTCTAGTTTTAATTGTTAAGAGGACGCCGCATCCGCATGTGTTGCCTCCGTCTTACACAAGTACGATATAGTAAATTTTCGTTTGCTAGTTTCAATAGGGTGATGTAAATTTTGATATTAGAGTGAAGTTACCTATAATAAACTTTAATGTAACAACATTATCTGTATTCTCTCGTTGGTTTTTTACGATATTTTAATTTTTAAGTGAGTTATGAATTTGTAAACATTAATATTTGAAAATGCTTATAATTCACTTAAAAATTAAAATATCGTAAAAACTTAACGGGAGGAGAACATAAATAATGTTGTTATCTAAAAGTTTGATAAAAGGTCCATTAACTCTATTATCCAAACTAACAGCACACTATTGAAAATGTGGAACGAAAATTTGGTATGTCGCCCGTGTGTGAGACGGAGACAACAAAATATGTCCTCTTAATATTTTATAAAATA